TCTATTGGGCCCCTTGACAAGTAAGATTAATTAGCATGGTCATGCTCAAATGAGGTGTCATTTGTTCAAGATTAATCTTACTTAGTAATCAAGAAATATTAATTGAGAATAACAAGGATGACACGACCTAACCTTGTCTCAATTAAGATATCGTTTGACCAAAGAGAATTATTAGCACAAATTAATCATTAAAAGGTTATGTCAGCTTCAATTGACATTTATATATTTTGGATAGTCATAATGCCTTGCTAGAGCCCGCTTACGATTTGTGAGGCTTGAATTAATTTCCTAGCCCACTGCTAACGATATATAAACCTATAGGGTCACACACCAAAGTGATTTGGATCAGTAATGTTCGTTAATAACATTAAACTAGCCTGATTAGCCCAATTCGAAATAGGGTTTCGAATGGTATTGGGCTAGGGCCTCCAGGAGAGTTTTATTAGCTATAAAACTCCTTCTTTTCTCCTCTTATAAATAGGGTTGAGGAGAACCATGATTTTTAAGAGTTAAAATTCACATCTCAAAACCTAGAGAGAGAGATAGAAAGAAGAGAACACTAGCACATTCCCTATGGCCGATCCAGTCACGTGCGGGTGGATACCAGTAGAGCTCGGGATCGTTTTCTTGGACTGTCTGACATCTTTGCTGATAGGCACTAGTTGTTAGTGCCTAAGTATACATTTTTATTATTGTTTGTAATGTTTACTAACTTTTATTGTGCAAATTTGTAGTTGTTAGTTTGCATTTGATGTTAGTTGTATTTCTAGCATTTTATTATTTGTTGTTAGAAGTAGATAGTTGTGCTTTAAGTTTGGGATAAGTTTGGAAGCAAAAAGGATGAAGGAACCTGAGTTTAGTGCAAAACCCGGCCGGGTATGGCATTCACCCGGTCGGGTATGAAGTGAAAAACAAAATTGCTAAGAAAATACACTAATACCCGGTCGGGTATCCCAAATACCCGGTCGGGTATGATATGATTTCAAAGCAAAATGACGTGCAGAAGAACATAGCGACGTGGGAAAAAGATTTGACAAATACCCGGTCGGGTATCCCATAAATAGCACCATTTTGTTTCACATTTCAATATCCCTTCTTCCATATACTTAAGCTCAACTTAGAATAGTATTTTCTTTATATTTTTCTAGCATGTTTAGTCTCCAAATGAGGAGCTAAACTTCCATTTCTTTGTTTTGCTCTTGAAGCTTGTTGATTATTAAAGTTGTGAGTTATTTTCTTAACTTCTCTTCTTGAATATAAATTCTTCCTTTAATCTCATTCCATGTTAATGTTGGGGTGTTGTTAAGTGATAATTAGTTAACACTTCGATATTAAATATTACTAGAAACGATCAACAAACCGATGGTTAATCGTTGATGGTTTCACAAGTAAGTAACTTCAGTTTATTAATGCCCGGTTGTGGTTAATAGACTTAAGAGGGATTAATTTTGTTGGTTAAACCGAAACCGTTGTGTTGAGGTTATCAATCTCAATTGATTTCATCAAGGAGTTAAAAAGATTAAATGCTACTATTAAATTGGTATACGGTGTTGTTCTATATTTGATTAATAGTAAGGGTTGTTAATGAACGGTCATTGTTAATAACTACCCTCGATGAATTGGATATACTCCTTGATTGAGTATTCGAGAGGGGATAAGTTATAGATATAACAAGGATCGACTAAATATATCAACAAGTGAAAAGAAGCAAAGCCAAGTTCTTTTTATCTTTGAATTAAATCACATATAAGTTGTTCATTGATATGCACTAATTAGTAGTGCTTAAATGTATGTTTTTATGTTTGATTTGTGTGGATTGTTTACCGTTTTATTTAGTTTGTAAACATTTGTGTGATTTTAGTTGTAATTGTATTTTAACCTTCATTTGTAAGTTGTAAAGTAGAATTAGGAATTATGGTGTTGGAAAGGGGGACTTTGAAGTGATTGGACTGTCCAGGAGCTGAAACTCGACCGGGTAGAACACTTGACCCGGTCGAGTAAGATTTAACAAACGAAGAAGCTCAGGAAATTTCCAGACCCGGTCGGGTCCCCTATCCCACCCGGTCGGGTCTGACTTGACCCGGGACATTTTAACGTGCTGAAACACAAGAACGTGGAAGATTATCTGATTTTGACATGCACCAGGTCGGGTGGGCACTTGACCCGGTCGGGTACCCGGTCCAAGGTGTTGAAAAGCACCTATAAATAGCACACTTTTCCTTCACTATTTTCCATCCCTTCTTCCATACTCTTAAGCTCAGTTATATAGCATTTCTTTATATTTTTCTAGCTATGTTTAGTCTCCAAATGAGGAGCTAAACATCCATTTCTTGGTTTTGCTCTTGAAGCTTGTTGATTATTAAAGTTGTGAGTTATTTTCTTAACTTCTCTCCTTGAATATTAATTCTTCCCTTAATCTGTTTCTATATTAATGTTGGGGAGTGTTGCTAAGATGACAATTAGTCAACATCTCAATATTAATTATTACTAGAAACGATCAACGAATCGATGGTTAATCGTTGATGGTTTCACAAGTAACTTCGGTTTATTAATGCACGGTCGTGGTTAATAAACTTAAGAGAGATTATTTTTGTTGGTTAAACCGAAACTGTTGTATTGAGGTTATCAATCTCAATTGATTTCATCAAGGAGTTAGAAAGATTAAATGCTACTATTAAATCGATATAAGGCGTTGTTCTATATTTGATTAATAGTAAGGGTTATTAATGATACGAACTCTACTACGCTATACTACGTATAATTGTTAGTATTGAATTTATTTTGACGCACTACGACAAAGTGCCCGTCATTCATCAGTGTGCCTTCCTCTTCATATTTAGCGAAGAAAGATATGAAGCGATCAGGAGGTTTTTGTTGAGATAAGTACGAGTTCATGTCACTCATGATCTTCATATGACCCTCAAAAACAACGTTCCAAGGGCAAACCTCACAAGTTCAAGACTATCCGGACAATGACTCGAGATGTGCCTTCCTCTTCATATTTTTTATGAGCCTGATATCGGGATAGTCTATCTTAATCATGAATAAAAGAAGCGCTTAATAATAGTGGATGAGGTTGCCAAATTCTATTATGGGACTTTGAAGATCATTCGAGATCAACTGCTACCAAAAGAGGAAGAGATCAAACTCAGACTTGCAAAGGCTTGACTTAAACTTAGTTTTGACCTTATAGCCTCCTCCTTGGGAGTGTTCTGATGTTATCAAACCACAACGTACTTGACTTAAAAAATTGGTTAATATCTCAATTTTAAATAGTAAAATTTAATTTCATCGATATTGACTTCACATACCTGCGTTTTTTATGTTTAATGGTGATTGTAAATCATTTAGAATCATGAACTTATGGTAGGAGATTTGATATGATTATATTAAATTGAAGTTTTCTTTAAATGATGTTGGGAAAAATAGTATAATTTGATGTGTGTTCCTGTATTAATGTATTGGAGTCTTATAATATTGAACTGGAGTAGATTAATGTTTTTATTTTGTAACTTTATCTGTCCTAAAATGATTTTTAAATTTACTTTTCTTGGTCGACGCAATATCATTTTATTCTCTAATTTTGAGTATTAAGTTATATTCATTTTAAGATCCAAAGTTTGCAAATTGCAATTCAATAGAAATTTTAATCTACTTTTACTATATACAATTTTTGTTGCTATCACTAATATAAAAATTATCAGGGAATGATTAACTATATGCTCAATCAAACTCACAAATCATTTTTGAAATGTAATTTGGGACAAAGGAATATAGTATACTATCGTATTAGTATTATTTCTTGGAGTCGTGTATATTTAATTAATAATTAACGTGATATGTATGAAAAAATTTTATTGGGATGCTTTTGACGGTGTTCATATTATACGTATATGTAGGAAATTTTTGTACCATATTTTTATACTATGAAATATTTTAACACGGTGTATTAATCCATATTGTTCAGGTATTGAATTTGAACCATAATTTACAACACGATTTGAAGTTGAGTTTGAATCAATGAGTACGCTGCGTAGGCGTTCCAAATTAATTAAATGTTGTAGTGCAAAAGTATGATTCATTTGTTAAATTTCATAAACATTTGCATCTTTAATAATATAAATAATGATTGTGAGCCCGTTTGATGATATCAAAATCAGCTGAATCGGCTGATTTTGCTGAAATTTATGAAATTCTGGTTGAAGAGGCTAAAGTGGCTAATTCTGCTGATTTATGAAAACATTATATTTAAAATATATTTTATTAATAAAATAAAGAAAAACTTATATGTAAAAATAGATAAAATGGTCGTCTACAGTAACTTCAGTCAATACAACCAGAAAAGTAACTTCAACAGTTCAACCTCATTTTTCTTATTATTACACAATAGAGCGCGCGAAATCAAAAGTTACATGTTTTATGAAAAAGTTGGCTGACAAAACCCGATAAACCGAAAAACAGGGTTAACAAACGGACTCTATAAAGTTACTCCCTCCGTCCCTTATAACTTTGACAACTTTCCTTTTTTGGTTGTCCCAAAAACTTTGTCACTTTCCCTTTTAATCAATCAATTTGTGGCTCTTGTTAATTCTCTCTCCTCTGCACAAATTTTTACCACACAGTTTTTACTTTATTATTCTGAATGCTCGTCAAACATGGCAAACCTTTAAGGGACGGAGGGAGTAATTATTATTGATAGAAGTCAATAGGAGAGCGGCACATCAACATTTTATCTCCGATTTACTATATAAAACAATAGGTAGACAATATTTTTCAAATATGACAAATATAACAGACAATATTTGAAAAATATTGTCCAATTCTGATTATGACAATATCTCGAGAATAAAAATATAGACTTAAGTTTAAAATTTCACAATATTTTTTCTCTCATTTTGAAAATTTTCTATAACTATATTCATCATAAGTTTATAAAAAAATTGAGACTTTATCACGGCAGGTAATAAATAATAGACCTGCCTCCCAAGTCCCAACTATCCTTCCATCACTCTGGTTCTTTGGATATTTTCCCAAACCATGTTTATAGTGTTTTCCCCCTTTTTGTCATTGAAGTCATCGACGGTTGAAATTGTTAGGCAGCTGTAAAAAACCGTAGATCCTCCGTAAGATTTTATCTGTCATTTCTCAATGTCATAGACTCAAAAGACATGTTTTTATTTATTTATTCTCATACTGTAGTGCTTTGCATAGAATTTTTATCTCTATCTTTTCATCCCAAGCATATGTAAAATCATACTCCCCGCTTTCTTCTATACAATCTTCGTTGTCAAAGACTCAAAGCCACGAGGAAGCAGTTTTGCATGTCTCAAACGCCTTAATGAAATAATGGGCACTGTTCAGCTAAGTAGTTTATCTATATTCAAGAATGCTGCTTTTGTTTGGCGGTACCCTTCATTCATTCACAGCTATGTTTTTGTGATCCTCTTCTTTGGTTCATCAATTCAATATTTGGTTGGCTAAGGAAGAAAGGGCTCCAGTTTTCTTGAATTGCAATTGACTCGTTTTTTCAGGATTCTTCTTTTTATTATTGTATTGCTTAAAGCGGTGGGTTTTCTTTTCTTCTTTTTAAATATTCCAATTGCGATTTTTGAGGGGCGTTTACTCTGATGGCACCATTGAGAGGGTCGAAGAAGAAGAGGAAGGTGGAGAAGAAGGGTGAAGATGAAGAGGTTATAGTTCCAGAAGATGGCTCCACTGATTGGTGGGCTTCATTGTCCAAAAGGGTTTCAGGTCATTTGCTTACCACATTCCTCTTTACTTTGCAATGTTGGTTTTCCTAAGCTTTGGATTCAAAGACTTAGTTTTTTAAAGCAAATTTGTTTACTGGGTTAGTTCTATATATAATGGGTTCTTGATTTTCAGCTTAGGTTAAGATCACCAAATGACCTGTCTTGTTATGCCTTGGGTATAAATGTAGAATAAACTCGTGATTTTGTGTTCCTCTTCCCAACCAGCTGAGTGATTTTACCCAAACAAAGAAACACATAAAATGTTCTAGAATTTCACTAAACCAAAAAAAGAATGTGGTATACCTAAATATCCTTAACTTGTGCCTTTATATTGAAATATTATGATTTATTATAATTGAAAATTGGAAAAAAGGGGGGCAAAAGTGGGAATTGGCAAATGTGCTCTTGATTTTATAAAACAATTTTTTAAAAACAAAATGACACAATGAAATAGAGGGAGCGTTTGTCTGTATATTTAATTTAACTTAGATGTCAATATACAGTTGTGGTTCTATATCAAAATGTATCGGTACCATTGACTGGGATTTACATGCTTTTCAATCAGGGTTTGCTTCAAATTTCAATGAAGGGTTTGAGGGTTAGTATCGACCTTAGTAATATGAAACATAATACATTCATATTTCATGTGATGGGTAAAATAAATGAAGAAAGTAAGGATAAGCTCTTTAGCTGTTAGGAGTAATATCTCAACAAATACATAATGCATTTGTATGGCAGCTGAGTTTTTGGTCCTTGGGCTTGTCAATTTGGGAACCCCATCCCTGATAGATTGATCTATATATTATTGGCATAGAAAGACTGTCTACTCTGCTAGTTTTCATAAAGTTAGTTATATAGTAACTTAAGATAAAACAATGTGTTTAGCAGACATTGTATGAAATGGATGCAGATTTACACTAAGTTGGGCCTAGGAGTAAGGGATAACCTACATATGTCATCATCATCATCATTACCCCAGTGCCGTAAAGGCTCCCACCTACGGTGGGGTAAGGGGGGGTCGGATGTACGTAGTCTTACCCCAGTACTAAAGCACAGAGAGACTATTTCCGAATGACCCATAGTAAAAATCACGTTGAAAAATACATGGACTGACTGTTGCTTCACACTAAAGAAGCGCAGACGGTTAAGTGAGCCATTTTGCTTTATTCCATCATATTCTCAAGCCAAAAAATAGTGAATCTTTGGCTCCATTGCAAATGATGGAAAAGGATAACCTACATATGTAATCAACATATTTTAACTTTGACTCCTTTTGTTCTGTCATCTGCTTCCGAAATCCTGTTTTAGTACCCCCATACTTTAGGGTACTTGGGGGAAGGAAAATTCTATAAAAAGATATTTTTTTAGTTTGGCTATAACTTGGAAAATGCAAAAAAAATGAATTTTTCGTACTTTTTCTTCAAAAAAATCATATGTTTATACTTTTATAGTCTTTATATAATAGAAATAAATAATTAATTAAATAAGTGAATGCACATAAAATGAAATTGAACAAATATCTACAGTCATGGTGAACAAAGTTAAAAACTTTATTCCAAATTAATTTAGAGAATGAAAACTACACATGTTTTATCTTCTGCTTCAGGATTCATGCTTAGTATTCAAGGGTTCTAAGCACACAATTTTTACCATATCTTTGCAATTTACCCTAATCAGATTCAGAACTAACTTTGAAGCTCTTTTTCTCATCCATAGAAAACTTCAAGTGTCCTCTTGCATGAGAAATAACAGTTACGAGTAGTCGCTAAAACTATTACAGTACACCCTGGTAATTTTGAAAACCTAAAGGCAATAGTTTTACTTCAAAATAGATAAATAGAAGTTACACTAATAAGATCCGTTGGAAACTTTTATAAAAACAAATCATATAACACATGATGCTTGCTTATACATGTTTTTTGCTATCTATGCCATCTCTTTCTTCGTGTAGGTAGTGTTTCACCCTCAAAGGGTATGGACAGATTCCAGGCCATCTTCAAGATGTCAAGAAAGACATTTGAGTATATATGTTCATTAGTGAAGGATCATATGATGCTAAAGTCAGCTAGTTCTGTGTTCACAAATGGAAAGCCGATGTCCTTACATGAACAAGTAGCTCTAGCCTTGCGAAGGCTATGCTCGGGCAATTCCCTGATCGTGGTTGGTGATTCCTTTGGTGCGCATCATTCCACCGTGTCTCAAGTGACATGGCGCTTTGTAGAGGCCATAGAAGAAAGCGGGGTCCGCCATCTCCAGTGGCCTTTGTCAGAACTGGAGATGAAGCGGATAAAACTGAAGTTCGAACAAATAAGAGGTCTTCCTAATTGTTGTGGCGCAATAGACACTACACACATCACGATGATGTTATCCACATCCGAGCAAACTGCTGATGTTTGGGCTGACCAGACCGGGAACCATAGCATGATCCTTCAGGCAATCGTGGACCCCGATATGAGGTTCTTAGATATTGTCACCGGTTTGCCGGGAAAGATGGATAGCTCGTCGGTCCTTCAAAGCTCATCATTCTTCAAGCTTTGCAAGAAAGGGGAGAGGTTGAATGGGAAGAAAACAAAGATGTGTGGAGAAGCAGAAATGGGAGAGTATATAGTTGGCAGTTCGGGGTTTCCTCTTTATCCGTGGTTAATGACTCCTTACAAAGGGAAAGACCTTTCGGGACCCAAAGCTGAATTTAACAAGAGACATTATGCGACTCGGATTGTCGCGCAAAGAGCGCTGACGAGGTTGAAGGATGTGTGGAAAATGATTCACGGAAACATGTGGAGACCTGACAAACATAAGTTGCCAAGGTTCATACTTGTTTGTTGCATTCTCCATAATATCATCATTGATATGGAAGATGAGGTTTTGGATGAAGAGATGCCTCTCCCTCGCCGTCATGACCCCGGATATCCACAAGAGGTTTCTGAGACCATTGATGAAACTGGTTCTGTCATGAGGGATCATCTCTCCCTATATTTATATGGTAAAAAACTGCAGAAAACCCATGCAGAGTAATGTAAACCAGACTGTTTTTGCAGGTTGGGTTTTCCCTAATTTTCTTTATATACATTATGCCTTTTTAAAAAAACTGAATGTATGTTGGTTACATTTCTTTATATTTTGAAACTATCATTTCAAAAAAGATTTTAATTGAAAAATATCTGAAAGCATATTGATAAACAAAACGTTCTTCTTTTGGTCCCAAAAATTTTGGATAATTTCCACTCTGGAGCCCGCTAGGGGTTATTGAACGGCTGAATTGATTCAATTAGTCGTTAAAAGTGTTTTGTGAATGTAATAGTTAATTGAGAGTCCGTTTGGTAACACTAAAATTGGTTGAATCGGTGATTCTGTTGAAATTTATGAAGTTCTGGTTGAAGAGACTGGATTGATTGATTCCGTTGATTTATGGGGGGAAATATTTTAAATGTTTTTATTAATAAAATAAAGAAAACAATATAAGAAAAATAGCTAAAGTGATTCTCTAAAGTAACTTCGGCCAATAAAGCGGGAAAAGTAACTCCAACCTTACTTTTTCTTATTATTATACAATTCAGCGCGCGAAATCAAAAGTTACGCGTTTAATGAAAAAGTTAGATGATAAACCCAACGGGGTCATCAAACGGGCTCTGAATGTGTCATTACCTAAAATGATAATGTCATTGGAGCTGAATCACCCAAAAAATAAGAGTAAGGGTGAACTTTTGGCTCAAGATTGTTATCGGCAGAATCAAAGTCCTGCTGCGTTTGGTGATTATTGACATATTCTCATGGTCATTTAGCTCATTCAAACACACCAAACAAGCTCTTAGTTCCCGACTTCCCTTTGGTCTTTTCGGGCCAGTTATCCAGCAAAAATCAATCTGACACTACCAGGATAATGTATATATAGAGGGACCAGTAATGTCAAAAAAACTCACAGTCAAGCACCAAAAGAGGAAAACATACTGGATTCCTAGCCTCGATCAAAAGTGGAATATTTTTTAACTCATACTCTCCATTAGGAAATAGATGCAACGTTGAGTGGGCAAATAAATTAAGACTCCTTCAATTTGTATTCTCCCTATCCTCTCCTTGGCTATACAGATTAATACTTGAACATCCAAAAGTGCTGCAGTGCTGCAGTGCTCCATTCTTTGTTTTTATAAAAAATAGCATTACCAGCTTATTCAAATGAGCTTTATTCTTTACAAATTACCTCAGAAGCCAATACGATTTGGTTGTAAAATGGATTGCAGTTGTTTAAAATAATGACTACAAGAATCTTTCTCCTTGTTTAGATCTTATGGCCGGATCTCCTTTTTTCTTGAAGGAAATGAAGGGTTAGAGAAATGCTGTAGAAAGAAAGAAGATGGTGAGGGAAAAGGAGGGATGACACACTAGTAATAGATGGAAGAAGATAGGTGTCGTGGGTCAAGGGAAAGTGAAGAAGATAGAGATATAATGGGTGAGACTAAACATTCATTAGGTGTGTGTATGGCAACAAAAGGAAGAAGAGAGGGAGATGAGGGTTAATCAAGGGTATTGATTATTGAACTCAATTTACCTATTATTTAATACCCAAAAGAAAAGAAAAAAATAATAATACCCAAAAGAAAATGTTTGCAATTACTTTGAAAAGCTAAAAAGGGAAAGTTTTGCAACTATTTAAGAATGCAACAAGTATTCAACATAATACTAGTACTAGAAATGACACTCAGCTGGAGTTTAGTTTTCTCAGCAAAATGAGAGAACTTGTGTCTACAGATTAAATCAAGAATTTTGCATGGAGGACAAGAATCTCTTCATCCATCCTTCCTTAACAGAATCTGGAACCGGTGTGTCACCCATGAAAGCGTTCCATACATCCCCCTTGCGATTGCCAAGTACCCATTTGACTTTCAAGGGTGGCTCCCCAAATGAGGACTCCTCCTCTCTAGATGGTTTACTCGCCGTCATCATGTTGTGGTTCACTTTAAACATCTTAGACAATGGCCTGTTCTCATTATTCAATTCACTTAAGTGTTTCTGAACAGCTACCATGGACCGAAACTTCCTGCCCGTGCCAGGTTCATAGTAATACTAGCACAAAAAAATACAATTATAGGGCTTTGGTCAGTAACAAGTATGCAGAGATTTCATCACAAGAGTAAAAAGAGGATAGACAAACCATACCTTATCTGTGAGGTTATCATTTTGACGGGGTACCTCTTCCACTACCCAGCCATCAGGTAGCTGACAGGACGGGGCTTCTGGGGTCTCGGCACTGCCTGAAGGTACGATTGCCCAATGGTTTGGATTATGCTCTTCTTCATCCATATTCAACACCTGCAAATATTGTTGTGGCACATTAATGACAAACATTTACTTTTACGTCTTAGGATGTGTTTAGTTCAAAGGGTAATAAGCAGTGCTTACTAAACCCTGTGTTAATAAGCTGTGTTTTAATAAGAAACGTTTAATAAACATGTGTTTACTTTAATATAATATCATGCTTAGTAACACAAATATGTGTTTACTTCATTGGGATTAAGGTCTACGATAACGGTAAGATGTCAAAAACAGCCTTCAACCTTTAATTACTTTCCGCTGCAATTCCTTCTTTTAAATGTTTCTCTACTCTTTCTGAAATATATATGGAATGACAGATTTTTACAATTATATTCTTTCTCACCTCTGAATCAGCCACAAATCGAAGAGATGTCGTACTCAACGACTCACCCAACAAGCAATCTTCTCCAGTTAACTTTAATTTTTGTTTGGGATAAAAAGACAGAATATTGGTATGCTTCAATGTTCAAACAACTAGATTGAAAAGGGAAATTCAGAGAAAAAAGGACATACCTGCGCAGAAATTCTGATAAAGTATTCTATAATCTATTTAATAGGAAGTAAGTCTAATCTAGCGATGTGAAGAAATACCAGGTAAACTGAAAAATATGTAACTAACAAGTAAAAAACTAACCTAAAGAAGGAAATCTAAAAAATGGAGTGTAATTGCATAGCAGATATTGAAGATACATACATGCGATGGTGTAGCTTTCATTGGAGGAGGAGGATTCATGGTGACTGGATATTAGGGTCATACGCAATGGCTTTGTTAGGGTTATATGCAATGATAGAAGAGATATAAGTGTAAATAAAATTTCTTCAAGTTATAATGTTGGGACATGATGGTCATAATAAAAGAGTTTAAAACGCCGACTAATTAATACATGGGGATGTGGAAGTTTAATAAGCAGGCATTTAACACGTTACGATGCTTACTACATGTACATTTTATCTGTCCATCGTTTGCTTGACTTGTATTACTAACCTAACAATATAACTAACGGTGAAGTAAACATGTCCTTAGGGACCATTTGGTAAGGGTTAGTTTACTCAACCTGTTGAACTTTTTGAAAGGGGAAGATTTAAGTGACATTCATTTCAACTAAATAAGTCAAAGCTACTTATTCTTCTCAAAAGCAAATTCATCTGAATAAGACACTTTTGGCTACCAAATGGTGCATTATCCAACTTAAGAACCTAAATGGTTTTCCAATGATGCTCAATATATTTTAAGCCATCTTCTCATTGAGACAAAAAGAACTGATCTGCATGCATAACTCAATAATATTAAAATCTGTTTGATCATTTGAGTCTTAATGGAATTGAAACCGGCTTGTAGAAAGCACGTAAAAACAGCATTGGGTCATCATTGCAACATTACTTGGCATTTTGATCCAAGAATTTCTAACATTATACTAGAGAACTTGCCTTTCCACTATGAACAATCATCTTCCTCGAAGACGAACTCTGATGGAACAAACCAAAGAAAAAACATACATGAAACATTTGAAATAGCTGGAAAATTCCTAGTAAATCCAGATATGAAAGAATTCAAGCATGTCAAAGTACCTCAGGACGATTACCCGAGCTATAAATCCGTTTAACTTCTTCCCCATTCAGGTGCCTCTCAACGTCTTTCAATGATCTGAACTTCTTTCCGGTATCTGGTTCAAAGTAATACTGCAATAAGATCAACCTCGTTTGATCAATCAATGATCCAATTTTTGCTTGTAACCGTAAAAAAGCTACTCTCGGCGAAGATGAAGAAGAAACAATCAAAGAGAGATTAAAATATAGCGGGAGAAAAAGAGAGGAAGAAAACTGATCACCCTGTCAAATTTGGAGCGGTCGGAGCGGAAAACTTCATCGACCCTCCAACCGGCGGGCAGACTAAACCCGGTGTTGGTAACGAGAGAGAATGCGGGTGGTGCCACAACGGCCAATTGACGGTCCGAGCTGGGGGAGTCGGCGCCGGTACGGGGAGGCCTCCGCGTTGATTGCGACGACGCGCGAGCCTTAGATTTCCGTTTCGCCATGTTCCGCAAACGCGAAAGTGCTGCTGGAGTGCTGGTTAGAGTGGAGCAGAGTGAAACGTATTACTTGTGAGATGTTGACTACTGCCACAGGCCCACAACCTTCTAAGAAGGTTCATTTTCTAAGAAGGTTATTTTTTTGGCAAAAGAAGGTTATTATTCTACGCCTTTTTCTTCTCAAATAAAACATTGATAGAGGAGTAAAACATTATTCTATAACAACGTACTCCCTCCGTCCCATAAAATAAGTCTCATTTTCCTTTTTGGGCCGTCCCAAAAAATTTGATGGATAGTCTACTCGGGGGTATATATCCGAAGGGTTATTGCTGTGAATAACTTAGAGAGAAGTCAGAGCAAGTAAATGTAGAGAGAGAGTGTATTCAGTATGAATGTCGTGGTTACAAACGGGGAAATGGGGTGCTATTTATAGTAGCAATAAATGCAGGACAGGGACACGTGTCAAGCGCCTATTGGTCGAGGGGTTACCTCAACTGGTTGGCGTTGGCAGCCGCATGTGGCCGCATTTAATGCGGCTGTTGGATGGGACGTCTGTACAGGGTACGGCGATCTGCACGCATGTGAGGCGGATATTATGTCGGGAGAGGTGCCCTCGGCTGCAGAGGACTAGCCGAGGGCTCTTAGTGCTGAGGGCCCCTGAGTGCCGAGGGCTCCAGGTGCCGAGGGCTACTGTTTTCGCCGTTTTCTCCCAGTTCCTCTGTTTGTTCGAAATATCCGTTCTGTGAGAGTTTGGAGCCTTCGGCCAGGGGGCCGAAGGCACCCCTGGTGCGTCTTGTGGGGTGCTTGGTACTCTGGGCGCCGTGATTTGGGCCTGTTGGGCCTC